CGAGCAGTGTATATCACTGAAGATGACCTCACTTGGTCATAGAGTGCATTTTTGGTATATCTCTCGCTCCAGCAAGTTTCAGGATCCTCACCCAACGATTACGTGAGATACAGGGGTGTTTCCATTAAAAATGGGTCACACTGTAGGTACTTATATGCAGTATGGTGTCGTTGCATAGAATTCCACTCATGCCACTGAAGTTTTCTCTCCTACCTGGCTTCTAACTCGCCCAGCAACTCACGAACCAAACTTTTTTTAAACTGGTGTGAACATGTGGGCGCTACCACCATTTATTCAACTCTTCAATATAGGTACTTATACGCAGTATGTTGTCGTTGCATAGAATTCTACTCATGTCATTGTAGTTTTCTCTTCTACTTGGCTTCTAGCTCGACCTTCAACTCAAACTCCTGCCAAATTGGTGGGAACATTTTCGCACTACCACCATTTATTTAACTCTTCAATATTGGTACTTATACATAGAGTATATTGTTGTCCTTGCATGAAATTCTAGTCATGCCATTGATATTTCTTCTTCTACCTGGCTTCTAACTCGCCCAGCAACTCACGAACTGAACTTTTACTAAACTGATGCGCTGCCACCATTTATTTAAATCTTCATTATAGGAACTTATATGCAGTATGTTGTCGTTGTATACAATTCCGCTCATGCCATTGTAGTTTTCTATTCTACTTGGCTTCTAACTTGCCCATCAACTCAAACTTTTGGCAAATTGGTGGGAACCTTTTCGAACTACCACCATTTATTTAACTTTTCAATAAGGGTACTTATATACAGTATATTGTCCATGCATAAAACTCCAGTCATGCCATTGGAATTTTTCCTCCTACTTGGCTTCTAACTCGCCCTTCAACTCACGAACTGAACTTCAAAACTTTTACTAAAGTGGTGGGAGCGTTTGTGCGCTACCACCATTTATTCAACTTTTCAACATTGGTACTTATATGTGGAGTATATTGTCCTTGCGTGAAATTCTAGTCATGCCATTGACGTTTTTGCTTCTACCTGGCTTCTAACTCGCCCAGCAACTCACGAAATGAACTTTTACTGAACTGGTGGGAACATTTGTGCGCTGCCACCATTTATTTAAATCTTCAATATAGGGACTTATATGCAGTATGTTTTTGTTGCATAGAATTCCGCTCATTCCATTGTAGTTTTCTATTCTACTTGGCTTCTAACTTGCCCATCAACTCAAACTTTTGGCAAATTGGTGGGAACCTTTTCGAACTACCACCATTTATTTAACTTTTCAATAAAGGTACTTATATACAGTATATTGTCCTTGCATAAAATTCCAGTCATGCCATTGAAGTTTCTCCTCCTACTTGGCTTCTAACTCGCCCTTCAATTCACGAACTGAACTCCAAAACTTTTACTAAGGTGGTGGGAGCATTTGTGCGCTACCACCATTTATTCAACTCTTCAACATTGGTACTCATATATAGAGAATATTGTCCTTGCGTAAAATTCTAGTCATGCCATTGACGTTTTTTGCTTCTACCTGGCTTCTAACTCGCCCAGGAACTCACGAAGTGAACTTTTACTGAACTGGTGGGAACATTTGTGCGATACCACCATTTATTTAACTCTTCAATATAGGAACCTATATGCAGTATGTTGTCGTTGCATAGAATTCCGCTCATGCCATTGTAGTTTCCTATTTTACTTGGCTTCTAACTTGCCCATCAACTCAAGCTTTTGGCAAATTAGTGAGATTCTTTTCGAACTACCACAATTTATTGAACTCTTCAACATTGGTACTTATATATAGAATATATTGTCCTTTGAGTGAAATTCTAGTCATGCCATTGATATTTTTGCTTCCACCTGGCTTCTAACTCGCTCAGCAACTATGAAGTGAACTTTTACTTAACTGGTGGGAACATTTGTGCGCTACCACCATTTATGTAACTCTTCAATATAGGAACTTATATGCAGTATGTTGTCGTTGCATAGATTTCCGCTTATTTCATTATAGTTTTCCATTCTACTTGGCTTCTAACTTGCCTATCAACTCACGAACTGAACTTCAAAACTTTTACTAAAGTGGTGGGAGCATTGGTGCGCTACCACCATTTATTTAACTCTTCAATATAGGCACTTATACGCAGTATGTTGTTGCATAGAATTCCAATCATGCCATTGAAGTTTTCTCATCTACCTGGTTTCTAACTCGACACTCAACTCGCGAATTGAACTTCAAAACTTTTGTCGAATTAGTGGGTGTCTTTTGTGCTATCACTATTTATTTATTTGAACTATTCTACTGATGCACAATATGGCATATCAATCCGCCAAATTCCAATCATAACACCTGAACTAATATTGCATGTTGAGAAATTATTCAATCAATATATCCGGACGATTTAGTATTCGAAACTGTAAAATGCAACTTCATAGCAGTTACTTGAGTTTAACAAATCACATAATAACACAATATGATTACAATGTTTCTATTGAGCTAGAGGAAAACTAGAAGAAGTCTTCAGCTCAGTTTATGAAACTTTTTACACTTGAGTTCTTGAATTGGTGAATGCTCTTTTTGCATCCGCCTTTTTCACAAAAAATCATATTATTCATTTCATAGTTTTCGTGTTTTGGACGTTTAACGTTTATAGCACGATTCTACGAATTTCAATTCAGTCTACCACATTTAATCGATTTTGAAATGTTGTTGAATGATCGCATGAAACGTTTTCCTCGAATTGTACATGACGGCAGATAACATTGCGGCGTCGAACAATAATCCCCCCAATACATGTTTTGTGTGAACTTCCTTATGATTATGGTAATGGTACTAGTTGGCACTCATTTCATCTGTCATTGTCAATTTTCACAATATCGACATAGAGATTTTTTCTTGTGTTCTGATGGGAACAAACTGCATTATTTCACCAATTACCAAATTGATTAGTGGTAAAACATTGTAGTTGATTATCGTGCCGTAGGTTCAAGTCTTTGATGTATATGAAGGGGACAGTTTGTTATTGTGGATAGATAGCAGGAAAACAGGAGATAATATACTAAAATTCCATTCACTAGAAATTATGTGGAACATTATACACGCATTGTTTGATTAGGTCTCAGTAATGCTGCTTGGAAAAAATTTTAAAAAATTACACTTTTGTCAAACCCAAATGTCTTCTAAGCCACCAACAACTTCATTTCTTCAAGTTACACCCTATACATTTTTTGATTCAACTCTAACTTCAACGATGTATTAAACTTGATATTTTGACATACGTAATACTTCCAAATTCACGTGTCTTTTAGTCAGTTCGTAATACATCTAACTAAGACAATACCTTTTACCGAGCCATTTACATTTACCCCAAATGAGTATCCTGTCAATTGGACGTCAGTCAAATTATCAAGTGTGATACATCTTTGAAGTTAAAATTGATTGTACTTCACATATCAACAAGAAAATGTATAGGGTTCAACTTTAAAAAATTAAGTTGGAGGTGGTTCTTCAGGGGTAATTTGAAAGAAGTTGTTCTTGACACAATGGTATCAAAGTCATTTGGGTTGGACAATAGTGTAATTTTTTAAATGTTTTCCCAAGCAGGTATATTGATGATTATTATATATTATATAGACAACTGAAACACAAGATGATCTGGTCTAACCGCGAGAAGATATTTCCTCAGAGTTGTAGGAACCACGATATCCTAAGCCTAATTGCAATAATTCAAGTTGGTAAGGCGTTCTATTAGCCTCTAGCGCTAGATTATACCATTTTTTCGCAACTTCGAATTGAAATATGATATGGTCGTACAACATTAAAAATAGAACAGAATCTCAGGAACAGATAAGCTATATGTATATTATACTAATTATTTTATTAATGCGATGGGTCCATATAATGCTTTTTGCGAAAAAAACGAAAAAACCAATCAATGTTCTACCTCACTCAATGAACAAAACCTATCATGAACTCACTTATCAATTGAAATACCATCGCTATGAACGTTTTTATGAAACCAATAATAGAGTGGCACTAAAACGCTAAAAAGCTGCTCTCATAATTCCTTCTTGAAATCGTGCCGAAATCATCGTTATATGTGTTGGTCTGGTTTATTTCTTGTTATTTCATTATGGATGTGAAATGGCCCTGATGGTGAAGTTATGAAAAAACAATATTTTGCTAACGAACTGACATCTGCGAAATATTATTTGTTGACATACTCCTGTCATCTGGGTGCATTTGTTTCTTGATGTATGGCAGATTGATATTCATCATGGAAAGAAATTCGGAATTTCTTTATTATATTTGTCAGTTTTCGAAAAATATAGGTTCTGAGGCAGCTGAAGAACGCCAGAAATCGCTGCATTGTCGTCTGGCAACACCTGTCTTAGATATATATCAGAAAAAAACTCTATTTTTCGAAAACTGACAGAAGATGAACTATATGAATTATATATACAGGGTGTTCCCCAAAGACATGCTGATATTCAAGGGGTTGATTTAATGACTAATTTTGGGTAAAAAAACTCCCCACTAACGAATGTCCTGAAAGTCTCAACTTTTGAGATACAGGTTGATGAAGTTTTGAAAAAAAATCAGTTTCAAATTAATAACTGGGATAATATTGTAGACACCTTTATGAAATTTTGTACATATCTTCTATGCAATGTTTCAGTCACATAGCAGAATGAATTTTGCGATAAAAAAAAACTGTACAGGGTGGCCAAAAAAGAATTTATGTATATTTTCAACTTTGATACCTTGAATCTCAATAGTTAGGACTTTTACGATCCACCATTACCTATTCAATATCTAATGTGAGTCGCAGGTGGATGCCTACAAGAACATATACAGAGAGATTTTTTTATTATTCAAAATACCTACATGTTCACATATTCATGAGGTTCGCGAGGGGGGAGGGTGATGGCCCCTATGACCCCCCTTGGATCCGCCCTTGTGCTATTATTTCTCTTAGCTCAATGCTGATCGTCTTTTATTTCCTTCCAGTTTCCAAAGCGAAGATAATAGGAAATCCAGAATTATATATCAGAAGCGGAAGCGATATCAACCTGACGTGCATAGTCCTCCAAACGCCAGATCCTCCCAGTTTCATCTACTGGTATCGAGGGGGGAGCGTAATCAACTACTCCCAAAGGGGCGGAATCAGCGTAGTCACCGAAAAACAGACACGTACGAGCCGTTTGCTGATTTCGCGGGCCCTGCCGGAAGATAGCGGCAACTACACCTGTTCGCCGTCCACCAGTGACGCTGCCAGCGTGCTGGTACACGTTCTACAGGGTGAGCAACCCGCGGCGATGCAACACGGGTGCGCATTCAGACTGAGGACCACCGTGTGGACCGCGTATTTGACTGTGGTGATGAGTATGTTGGTGTGTTTGCTGGGCGATAGGTAATTGGTTCGCGGATCACGTTAGCATCCCATATAACACCGATATACTTGAGAAATGACGGCCGACTATTGAAATATGATACTTTCCCGCCGTCGATAGGTGTCCAGGCGGCCGCCAGCTGGCCCTAATACACATTACCGGCGATCAAGTCATAATTTTTGTCGGTAACTCAACCGAAAAGATACATATAATGATGAAGATGAAGAGCCCTAATTTCGAGTGACAATGGAAAATGAAAAAACTCCGCCGCCCCGTGTGAGAGTCGAACTCACACCCTATGGGTTACATGCCCAACGCTCTGTCAATTGAGCTAACGGGTCATCCGTCGATCAATCGGCAGGGAGGTCGAGTTCTCATCACACACCGGCGGCAGAATCCTTCCAATTCCCGAAGTCACTCGAAATCAAGCACTATACGAAGTCACTCGAAATCATGCACTATACGAAGCATGATTTCGAGTGGCTCAATTGGCAGAGCGTTGGGCATGTAACCCAGAGGTTATGTACGAAAGCTCTGGAGTGTCAATGGAAAAAATAAAAAGTCGAAATTTCGACTTACCAACTCGAAATTTCGTCTTATTAAGTCGAAATTTCGTATTAGTAAGTCGAAATTTCGACTTAACATCTCGAAATTTCGACATAGTTAAGAAATTTCGACATGATTGTTATCTCGAAATTTCGAGCTTTCATGAAAAGTCATATGAAACCGGCTTTATTGATGGTTCTTGGCCATTACAAAAGACATCTAGATCTAGGTACCCACGACGGATGCCAGCTTTGGTTCACTGTTTTCTTAGTTTTTCAACTTAGATCTCTATTATACAGGGTACCGAAATGAGCCTGCCAAATTCCACCAGCAGCTTCTTTGACCAAAAATAGGAAGAAAAGTTCCAATGAACATGAGTCGAGAAATGTCTCCTAAGGGAGCTATGGCCCCCTGAAAGGGGGCTCCTGAAGATGATATTTCTTGAATATTTCCGAAACGCCACGTGATAAAATGATGCAATTTAGTACAATAACTAAACTTTCCATGCCCAATGCGGTGAACATAAAATCATTTAAGAGTTTCATTCAGGAGTGTAAAATACAAGGTGGGACTACATTAAATATTGCTCAAACTTTTTCGTGTGCATATTTTTTGACAATTTAGTCTCGGATTATGAAAATCCACACCATTTCACAAAAATAAGTGCTCTTGTTCCGCATTGATCAGATGTATCATTTTCGAGTGAAATCGATTTAAAAATATTGATGCATTCACATCTTATGCATAACGTTGCCAATTTTCAAATCATAGTGGCTATAAAAAAATCGAGTACTTCCTTCTTACCAAACAATCTCAAAAAAGCGCAAAAAATAGGAAAATGATGATGAAAAAACTACTTCAATTTTTGTGCATTTTTTTCCATTTCCACTGAGATGTAACAATATTCTTAAATTGCTTTAACTCGATAACAATACATCATCTGATCGTCACGGAACAAGAGTACCTTTTTTCTGTAAAGAGGTGTGAAATTTCATAATCCGAGATCAAATTATCGAAAAATATGCAAACAAAAAATTTGGAGCAATATTTAATATAGTCCCACCCTGTATTATACACTCCTGATTGAAATTTTGAAATGATTTTATTTACACCGCATTGGGCATAGAAATTTCAGTTCTTGTAACAAAGGGCCCCCTTTCGGGGAAATTTCCAAATTTCGTCTTACATAAGACGAAATTTCGAGTTAGTAAGACAAAATTTCGACTTGGTAAGACGAAATTTCGACTTAGTAAGTCGAAAATTCGACTTAATAAGACGAAATTTCGAGTTACTAAATAAGACGAAATTTCGACTTCCTAAGTCGAAATTTCGACTTTTTATTTTTTTCCACTGGCACTCCTGAGCTTTCGTAGTTATGAGTTCGACTCTCACATTTTCATTGTCCATTATTGTCACTGGAAATTAGGGCTTTCCATCTTCATCATTTTATGTATCTTTTCGGTTGAGTTACCGACAAAAATTATGACTTGACTCCTATGTATGATTGCCTTCGGACATTTCCGTATACAAGGAAAGACAATGCCAGAGGACGAACGGGGAAATATGGCGACTGTATAGTACCATCCTGCCAGCGATGTTTCGTATAGTGCATGATTTCGAGTGACTTCGGGAATTGGAAGGATTCTGCCGCCTGGTGTGTGATGAGAACTCGAGGCCTTTTCATTTAGATATATTTTTGAGACGCATGCGCTCGTTTTTAGATCCAAAATTTGATTGGATAATGATAATGCGAAGGTGAAGTCTCATTGGCTATAGCTCCGACACAAAATTCTGATTGGTTATTTCAAATATGGCGGTTTTTATTGACGTAAAACCGTTACTTATTCGTGACTGAGGAGTGTGGTGCAAGCATATATCTACTATTTCTATATATGACGCATCGCCTATACGATATCTCAACAAAAATGGGACCAAAATGAGGGGAACTTTCTGAATCTATAAGGAGGGAAAGTGCAGGATGGGAACCTCGATGGGAACTGCTGACGTGAGGATCAGATTTTAAGTTAGGTAAGGTTCGTAAATAATTATTTGGTCGTGATAAAATATTAATAGTCTAATAGTCATCAATTGTTGATAATTCCACAGTATAGTACCTTTGTGCATGTCAATATATAAACAAGAAAATTTGAAAATTCAAACTTACTTATAAAAAGAGGATTCCTGTCTATTCTTTATTTCTCCGGAAATACCGCATTTCGTTCCACTAGAAATGGTTAAAAAAGTTCAGTCCATGAAAAATAAACACAAACACTAAAGAAATTTACAACTAAAAACGCAAATATTCGAATTTCAATCAAAAAAATTGAAATTCGTAGCCATATTGGTTTAACAAGTTTCGTATTATTTTTTCCCTACGTCGGCATCAACGCCTATTGGTAATATAGGTATATAGGTAACTAAAGAGACAGAAGTTGGTCCCGCTTTGAGGACAGCTATGCTTTATATGTAGAGTAGTAGATATATGGGTGCAAGTGTTTCGGAGAAAATGGCCGCCACTGTCGTTGGATGAAAGATGTAAACAGAGATAGGCATTTGTCATCTAAATGAAAAGGCCTATTGGCAGAGCGTTGGGCATGTAACCCAGAGGTTGTGAGTTCGACTTTGACACGGGGTTTTCAACAAATTTCAATGCGCCATTGATGGGATTTATAAATATAAAATGAGGATTTGCAAGCGCAAATACGTTGGTGGCTGAGCGCTCCCATCAACGGTGCATTGAAAATTGTTGCCGCTGTGGCACTTCTAAGCCAATAATTTCGCCGGTAATGTATATCAGGGCCGTCTGGCGGCCGCCTGGACACCTCGACGTCGGGAAAGTAAGAAATGCCATAGATTAAGGTTTGTTCAATCTATGGCTGGGCCGATGGGTTATGGTTGGTGTTATCTGGGATGTGACCTCTAAGATAATCTCAAATCTTGTCCGTCAAAAATGAACTGCTCTACGGATGGACCGCTGCATACTCTTCTTATTTTATAGTTCCTGATAGCTTATACCGCTGATTAGATTGCACTCGTTTCCAGACAACCAGGGTCGGATCCAGGAGATGTTTGAGGAAGGGGGGGCATAGGAAGTCACGGCTCATTGAGGATAGCAAAAAAGAGGAATTTTCATTGGTACCTCCTCAACTCAAATTAATTCATGTCAAGTTTTTTCGTTGAGCAATTGATGTGCGGAAATTAAAATACGTATGTTATTTATATCCATGTTGTCTAACTTATCAACCTAATTGATCTCGAATTTTCATTTCAACAATATATATACAGGGTGATTCAAAAGTAAGCGGCATCCTTTCAGAGGCGTATTCCTTGCATGAAAATAAGGCAAAAAGTTCCTATTGATAAGGATCCGAAAATGCTTCCTAAGGGAGCTACGGCCCTTTGAATAGGACACCTCAAAGACGGTTTTTTCTCTATAACTTTAAAATCCTTCACAACAAATTTTTAAAAATTGGTGTACGGCATAAACATTCGATGGTAAATAGGACTCCGTATTCGAAATAATTTCCAAACGAAATCACAGTAACCTGAATATCCGGAGAAGAAGGGATATTTTTACACTTACCCTCTCCCGCATGTGACGCCCCTGAATGAAATTCTGAAATTTCGAATACGGAGTCCTATTTACCATCGAATGTTTATGCCGTACACCAATTTTTAAAAATTTGTTGTGAAGGATTTTAAAGTTATAGAGAAAAAACCGTCTTTGAGGTGTCCTATTCAAAGGGCCGTAGCTCCCTTAGGAAGCATTTTCGGATCCTTATCAATAGGAACTTTTTGCCTCATTTTCAAGCAAGGAATACGCCTCTGAAAGGATGCCGCTTACTTTTGAATCACCCTGTATATATAATTATAATTACATTTGGATAAGGGATGACAAAAGTTGGTACATGTTGAAGTTCCTTATTTATATTAATATGTTTTTAATCACACTTTATTTTTATTCTATTTTTGTCAAGTAGTTTTGGAAAAAAGAGGAAGGTTATTGTTATGAAAATATTAGGGAAGTTGTTGAAAAAAGTGTTTTTATGAAAAAGTATTTGGGTCTCTCTGCTATCGAAGATATTCGAAAATATTACAGATTACATTTCCTCAGTAGGGAGTACCTACTCGTCAGTCTTGTTTTCATTGTAATATAATTCAAATTTGAACACAATTCAAACCTGCTAACATACACCTATATATGCACAGGATATTGAATAAGTGATCTGGAGAGGCTTGCTACCTTTGTAAATATCGGTAAATCTATGCTTGAGAAAATGTGATTTTATTTTTCCTCATATCGGCCGTTCAAAAAAAAAAAGTTGATATTATCCAGTAAACATGGTACCTACACGATTGAAAATGAGCATACTAGTCCATTTAGGATTAGTAAACTATGGTTGGTTCGTCAGAAATAAACAGTTTAATAAAAATCATAATCCGAATACTTGTTGGTGATACTGTTCACTAACTCTGATACTGAACAGTTAGTTCATAATGAGTGGATGAACATATTTTAAGTGGGCCACTTTCCTGATGTTTTCAGTGACTTTTCATGTTCTCTACATAGCATTTATTCCATGAAGTGGTTTCGAAATCACCATTCAACTCGTCGTAATTTCGTGACAGTCAAATCAACTGAACAAAGTCATTGCAGCAAATGAAAGGAAATGCCAGATTCACAGTCCACTCAAAGGATTTTTCGTGCCTACTTACTAATTAATCCTCGATTAGCTTTTTCGGATAAGGTATTCGGATTTGCTCACTGCACACTGTATAGGATGTTCTGTTTGCCTGCCAAGCACAGCTTAAAGGTGTTCTCGTGTTGATTTAATGGCCATGAAGACAAGTGGTTGCGGGATCGATTAATTATTTACACTGAAAGGGACTGGACTGGACATTTTGATCAAGTTGAACACTATA